GTCAGATGTTCAAAGGCAAGTTTCAAAACTCCGCCTCACCGCACTCCTAAAAGAGAACTAAACAGTGCCGGATCAAAATAACGTGGGGCCTGTAACGAGGCCCCTAAAGGTGCACTTACACGGGCAACTAAAATTGCTCAATTCCAGTCAATACTCGTCAACTATGACGTCACGACTACATCAAGCAATTTACGGCAACGCCAACAAGCATCAATGCTGCGCAATACAATATTGAGCGATATGGCGCAACTTCATCAACTAGGCAATACTGTCCTACACGAGCAATTAAGGATTCGCTCGCTATAGACGACATTGTTCTTGCTGCGGCGGCTTGTAGCGCTTTATTTATTATTAATCAAAATCAAAAAAGAAAGAAAAGGAATAGGCGTATCTGGGTGCGATCGTTTCTGGCCGCAATTTTCACTGTGTAAAGAATTAGATGATATATTATTCAAAAACTTTGAATTACTTTTGAATAAAGTCACTAGAAATTATTATTATTTAGGCCTCTCGATCTCCCTGCGGAAGCAAGACGGCAAGCCGCAAAACAAACAAGTGCGAATGAGATATATACAAAAATTGCTAGGAATTTCCAAGTCCATTGGATATTCGTCAATTCGTATCTGCGACATTGAGCGATATGAAATATCTGGAGCAATTAGAAGCAATATCGCCGAAATAATTTATTGAAATTTATTAAATTTATTGAAATTGCTCCATTAATTGCTCCAGATCGGTCCATTCGTGTCGCCGAGCAATTATTGCCCTCGTGTAAGCGCACCTTAAGTCATTTACATGATGCCATTTTCTTGTAACACACAAGAAATTTTTTTTAATAAATAATGAGCCGCATTTTTCCCCCCCCAATTTTTTTTCACTCTTTTCTTTTTCACCCTTCATTTTTTTTTTTTTTTTCTTTTCTTCCCCTGGAAAAAATTTCCCCTGCCCTTTTTTTCTCCCCCCCCCCTCTTTTTTTTTTTTTTTTTTTTTTTTTTTTTTTTTTTTTTTTTCCCCCCCTTGTTTGGTTTTTTTTTTTTTTTTTTTTTTTTTTTTTTTTTTTTTTTTTTTTTTTTTTTTTTTTTTTTTTTTTTTTTTTTTTTTTTTTTTTTTTTTTTTTTTGGTGTTTTTTTTTTTTTTTTTTTTTTTTTTTTGGGGGGGCCCCCCCCCCCCCCCCTTTTTTTTTTTTTTTTTTTTTTTTTTTTTTTTTTTTTTTTTTTTTTTTTTTTTTTTTTTTTTTTTTTTTTTTTTTTTTTTTTTTTTTTTTTTTTTTTTTTTTTTTTTTTTTTTTTTTTTTTTTTTTTTTTTCTTTTTTTTTTTTTTTTTTTTTTTTTCCCCCCCCCCCCCCCCCCCCCCCCCCCCCCCCCCCCCCCCCCCCCCCTTTTTTTTTTTTTTTTTTTTTTTTTTTTTTTTTTTTTTTTTTTTTTTTTTTTTTTTTTTTTTTTTTTTTTTTTTTTTTTTTTTTTTTTTTTTGTTTGGCCTCTTTCTTTTTTTTGGGGGTTTTTTTTGGTTTTTTTTGTGGTGGGGGGGGGGGCCCCCCCCCCCCCTTTTTTTTTTTTTTTTTTTTTTTTTTTTTTTTTTTTTTTTTTTTTTTTTTTTTTTTTTTTTTTTTTTTTTTTTTTTTTTTTTTTTTTTTTTTTTTTTTTTTTTTTTTTGTTTTAAGTCAGACAATTGTAAGCTGTCATCGGCAACATCAAAGAAATAAAGAGAAAATTACTTTTCTTGTCTAAATTATTTTAAAGGCGTCAAAGATCAATACTTTTATTTACACTTCGTATATACTACAAATCCCCCCAACCATCATAACATTATAAAAAAATCGTGCAGAAGTTAAATCTAAAAAAATATATATGGACTGATCTCGTCTATATTTCAAGGATTTTCATCAACAGGATACTTTGCACAGGAAGTGTACCCGGAACATTTTACAAACTTATTGCGAAGAATGTATTGAAGAAAATAATAAGAATGTGTACGGAACATTCCCTACTGTCCATTATGAACTAGAATCACACTTATTCTTTTGGAGGTTATTAAGTTACGTCTCTTCTGCTGCCCTTTAATGTGAGAAATCTTATAATCCTGCTCTGGGCCCCAAGGTCTTTTTAATGGAAGAAAAGCCAATGTTTCTTACTCCACCCTCGTTAGCTATCGGTAATGCTATTGAGACGTCCAATTTATGAAATGTGGTTGTCAAAGGTAATTGAAAATATCCATTTTCTGTTGGGACTTTGTCGTGTTACCGCCTCTGGGGCTTGTAGGTAATGTATTGTTCGCATAACGAGGTTCTGGCTTCCGATCCCGAAACAAAGATAAAGCTCTAATTAGTAGTAGTAAATAACGCATATGGAGGTAACGGGAGACAGGATACACTCTGATGCTTAGTCGGTATCACATGGTGAACCCGGAGGTCTAGAGTTCGATTCGAGTGATACGAACCGTACATTATTTTTTGGGCAATGAACAAAAAGGGCAAGTTTACCCAGGTTTTGTATTTAAAAGCAGAGCAGTGTTGGCCTAGTGGCATCAGCGAGTGACTCTCATACCTGAGGAGGTCGTAGGTTCGATCCACGGCTGTGCACCAATGTACTTTCTTTCTATGTGCGCATTTAACATTCGCTCGAACGGTGAAGGAAAATCTGAGGCCAAGACTAAAAGAGGTTGTAGCGCCACTGATTTATTTTTATTGTATTTTAAAAACTCTGTGGTGCTTCTACGTCAAGTCGAAATCATTTATTCATATAGGTAAAACAATGTACACTTATGAACGTCAAAAAAGAAATACATATTAAATGCTTCTAATTTTACACTTACCACTTCTCAAATCAAGGGCATAGAACGGAAGGGAAGAACTGGCAATAAACTTTTTAATCGCCAAGTTTTTCGTTTTACACAATGTTTGTATGGAGCTGCAACCATTACACCTGACTTCTTAAGTAATTATTAGTTAATTAATAATCTCACTAATATTATAAAGAGGAAAACTTTGTTTGTTTGATTGTAATGAATAGACTCATAAACTACTGACATTTTAAAAATTTTACTTCAAAGTACATTTCACGATAATATAGGCTATATTTAATTTTGAAAAAAATAGGGTTCCTAAATATTAGGGTTTTTCGGACACAAGGTGTAAAAATCAACCAAAAAAGTTGCTTATTTTGCTACCCTGCCTAAACTATTAAAGATAGAACCATAAAATGTTCTAAGTAATTGTAGATCTTATAAATATCTACAAAAAAGTCTGCGACACACTATACCTATCTATGTCGAGTGAGGCACAATAACCATAAATGATATAATGACATGGCAAAACGGCGTTTGCCGGATCAGGTAGTAATAAAATAAATTAAAAACAAAAATTTGTCTTCTAACAGCAGGAGGCATGGTGATATAGGAGCACGCACTTACATTCTCGTGGGAACAACACGCAAGTCAAGACCAGGGTCTCAGATATATTCATTTAGTGATCTTTAATAGGCAAGTATATGATCAGCTGACACACGCCGTTGATTTTTATGTTTACGGTTTATTCATGATGTTTTCTTTCACCGTACGAGCGAGGGGTCCTTGGCCACAGATCACATCTCTTTCCTTGATTAATTTTTATATCAAAGACAAGTAGGTGATCAGCCTTCTGTAGATTTTTTGGTTTGAGTGTTAACGGTCTTCTCACGATTTTCACCGTACGAGCGAGTGTTAGAGGCGCACACCGAAAGAATAGTCCATTGCAGAGCCTCAGGATTGAAAGGGCGGGACCGCACTCGCGAGCCCTCTGGCATTGAGAGTGTCCATGGGCGGCGGTATCACTTAACATCAGGTGAACCTCCTGTCCGTTTGCACCCTGTTCTATAAAAAAAAGGTTCACGATCAAGCCATAAGACCAGCACTCTTTCTTCGGTAGCTGATGTCGGGGCGTCGTGGTCAGCAAGGAAACTTCCGGAGCAGATTATTTTTCCACGTGTTTCTGTCCAGTGCCTCTCTTTGGCCTTTGGTCCAGTTGCAGTCATGGAAGCAATCATTTTGACAAATCTTAAAGATTTTGATTCGTAGGTTTTACTTAACTGCGATTCGTTTAAATTCATACATTTTAAAGAAAATCTAAAATTACTTCGAATGAAATATACTCGGCTGTACAACTTTTACATTTTACAGCTAAAAAGCCTTTCAACTCACCGCTCTCGTATCAAAAGCATAATTACTTTTCAAATAGCGAAATGACGGACTTGGGTACTTTAAAACTTAGCTATAGCCAATTTGATCCAAGGGAGAACTCTTCAAAATGTATTCTCTGTTTTATTTATTTAAAGATGAATGATTGATCATATTAATTAAATGATGTAATTAATTTAATATGTGATCTGTAAAATACATAAATATGTCAGATGAGAAGACAACATCACACTCATAAAATAATTTGGCTATTATAAAAATGTAGTATCTAATTTTTCCTTCACTTAAAGGCCCTTTGAGACTTGAGATGTTTTAAAAGGTTCAAAAGAATATCGTCCAATGTCCATTTTCCACGAGGTAAAGAAAATGACGCCACAAATTTTCCGAATTTGTTCACGGATAACAATAGGCAAGTTATTCTTTTGTTGTGAGAACAATTTTAAATATTTTCGTGCGACCCTCTCACTAAACCTTTTTTGTGAGTGACAGAGGTATTATACCGCGACATATTCATAGTAATATAAAATATAAACTCCGCTATATATACTTTAAATAACAAACGTAACCACGAAACAAAACACTTCATAAAAATGTTAGACGTAGTTTCCTAACGAAAAGTAACACACCAATAACATTAAGTGAAGTATTATATGTTCAGGACTCAGGTATATAACTGGACAAAACAAGGACAATTCAAAAGTTTAATAAAATGCAAGTGAAGGCAATAAAACGAAAAATTGCCGTGCCACGGCTACTGGAGAGACAAAAGCTCACCGCGAGATAAATATTCATGTAAAAAAGTACTGAAAAACATTTGAATGTGAATTCTATCATCCGATATTTAAATCTGGCATGGGGTGTGCGGCCGGGCGGGCGAGAAATTTCCTCAGGCGAGGGCGGACGGCGCGGGGCGGGCGGCCCGGGTAATTAGGCGGCCCGGCGGAGGCTGTATTGATCGCGCGGTCTCCTAGCAACGCGTGAGATGGCAGCACGGCCCTCGCACAGGCACACGACGCTTTTTGTTCAAGTTCGTTCTAGGTGCGAGCGTTTTGATGTAATCTCAAAGGAAATGATTCAATTCGATTCGCTTGCTATATTCAGCGAGAGATTATGGGGCTATTAGTCAAAACGTTTTGGGACTAAGTAGGAAAATTCTTGGATTATTTCAATGGACTTGAAATGCGAACAGCTTTGTAGGGAAATTTAATAAAGGCTCAGTCGTGGCAGCAATCTAAGCGGAATTGCGGAGGCTGTATAAACATAATTACAGAAATATTATGAGGAGACGTACATTTATCTCGATCATCCGGGGCATCCGCTGCGAGGCACGTCTTGCTTGTTTGTTTCTCTATACAGTACATCTATACTCTATACCTTAATCCTATAGTGCATTAAGTATACAAACTTAAATTATTTATCATTAAGCAAATCACTGATGCCGACTAGGCAAGTCAGGCAAAAATTAATTATAAAGTTAGATTTTATTTCTGGGTCACATGTAATAATAATAATATTGAAACTTTATTCATGACTGTATTGAACCTTTAATGGAATTCGAAACAATTACGTAATAAAATTTTGATTTGAGCGTTAATATTACCTGAGTTCCCATTTCTGTAAGCGAATATTTTCCGAGATTTAGGCAAAATGTAATAATGATAACACCCTCCGTGTGGCGCATTTTATCTGGCATATTTCAACTTGTTTTCTACTTATACGTTTCTCCCTGAAGTGCGGAAATAACAATAACTCTTATTAGTATTTTTAATCTAAAGATATTTTCAATTGTTTTTGTGCCATTAAATCAATTTTTCTACTATGTTTTCTTCCTATTTAATCAGCATTCGAATGGCGGCAAGGTGATTAGTTTTCATATATTGTAAAGTCCTATTGTAAGTACCAACTTCTTCCACAGGTGGACAAAAGGTTGTGAAAACTCTCTTTCTCTTTCTTCTTTTACTTATTTATTCTCAATAATTGTTCAAGGATCCAATGTTTGTGTTATGCGAGCGAACATTCTAATAAAAAAACAAACAAATAAAACTGCACTCTCACAAAGGTAAACATTTCCAGCGAAATTCTCATGCAAGGAGAAAAATAAATATCGTTACATGCATTGGAAATGAGCAAAGGATACGAAAATTGCAATTTCCGACAAGCCTTTGTGCTTACGATCCTCAACGATGCGAAAAACGTATGCTAAAAATTGCTACACACTCGTAATTACTACTTATTTTGCAAGTATTTTACAGTTGATCGCACTTTTGTGGGATTCCTGTCAACAATCGTTATGGCGTGAGGGCTACGTTCAATATTTTATGTCTTTTCATATGAAGTTCAGAGTGTTCTTAACTAAAATTATACCTCGCTAAGGTTGTAATAAATATTATAAACTGTATTGGGATATGTAATCTTTCAGTACTGATGATCATATACATAAAGTATTTTTATTAAACTTTATCACGGAAGCGTAAACAATATTCTCATCAAAATGTAATATACTATTAACGCTACAATGAACTTCAATCAGTACATTAAAGGGTAGCTCAAAGCTCCACACTATAGATACATTCCCCGAACCCGGTATTAATTCGCAGTCCCGAATTGCAGTTAGTTATATACTGTTAATATATAATAATCCATGTATAAATGTTAGCTGACTGGAACATGTCGGCCCGGATGTAACTATTGGCAACAGCCACCCACTCCACCTCGCACTGAACACAGACGATTCTAGCCATTACAGTAACGATTATATAGGCTAAAATTGACTGCAGAATATCCCCAGTTACGATTGTATGCCGTTGTCAATTGCATCACCTACTGCCACCTGATTCCAGTTGCCCGGGAGGGCGCCTCTGGCTGTTTGCCGGTTGCCTTCGCTTTGTGCCCCTTTAATAAGTTGTTATATAACCATGTTGGTGATTGCAAACGACAGCGCTGATGTGTAGTAATTACTTTTTGAAATGATTGTTCGATATAGTCATTGTGTGCTTAATCGGATTTACGCTTTCGAAAAAGCTTTATTACAAAACATGCTTTCATTTTAGAGTATAGAGAAAATTTGCATCTCTCCGGAGCAAGCCATTGCATCTGTATCGAGACACAAATCAACTTTAGCTGCTAACTGAATACAGAGCATGTGATTTGCAACTCTTAAAAAATAAACATTTTTTTTTACAATAAATACGATTTATTATATAGTCATATTCATGTATACATCCTATATATAAATAACATAAAAACAATAACTAACCTTAAAATATAATAACTAAAATATATTATTAAAAGAAGTCCCTTTAGGCAAGGTTGCGAAGATACTGGCAGCGTTCCCCCTTTGAATAGCGAACTTATTCTTTTTCCGAGGTAGCTGCCAGCTCTTCGGTCTCTGTGATGTTGACTAACCTTTAAGCTATTTCCTTAAAAAGCCTTACGGCGCTAGGACCCCACGGACCAATGGTCTTGACACCGAATGGGAAAAAATCATATTCAGACCCTAACCCTTTTAAATGACTTAATGTTTTATTTAAGACACAATGTAAACCTGTAATTAAGAAAAATATATTAGTAATTTAAACTAATTAGGTATATATATATATATATATATGATATAGTCAAAGAATGTAAGACCATTGTTGTGTACGCACGACCATACATATATATGTATGTTTTTATCTCTTTAGAAATTCGTAATAGAATTCTCCAACGCTTTAACGAGATATATAGACACATATGCTTTGTTTAAATTACCCATCACATATTCTTCCCTAAAATTGAACAAAGAACGGACCTCGACGGATGTATACGTAGACGTTATGCCATTAAGTACTCAGCGATGGAAATATTCCACAAATAGATGTATAAATTTTAGAAATTTCATGAACCTGCTTAATTGCTCACAGACAGGTGACACAACATTGTCTGGCATCCACACTGCTGTCGGAATTTAGTCAATGTAGGAATGCTTTGTTTAAAATACGTCTTGGAAATATATCTCCAGGTACAATAAGTTAACTAGCTTCATGGGTACGTACAAAGCTTTCAAAGTATCCATATCATTTAAATATGTACATATTAATCTAATTAAAATCCAACTGTCACTTCTTTTCGTTACATAATAGTTATATATTAATATTATTGCATTCATATTTAGTTTTGTTCTGTGTAGATATTGGCTAATAATTATGATTTACGTCTAACTAAATTATGTCTAATAATTGGTTTATAATAGATTTTTGACACGAATAAATCATCCTTTTTAACATCCCAATATATGTTGAACTGTTTAGTTAGTAATATCTTAAGAGTTTAAAATGCTGTAGAATAATGTTAAAATATATTTATTATGTATTACATAATATTGTCATCCTAATAATCTTTGATAAAGACTTGGAATTTATTACGATGGATTATTCAAAACAAATACGCCTTAGTACCCGCTATAAAACTGGGCAAAATTTGAATGTTACTGAATCTGCAATAAACGTTCGCTGTGTTATAGTCACCCTCGCACAAAGGCTATTCCTATAATACCCCAACACATTTAAAATACATTTTCACTGAAAAATTACAAACTATCTCCATATTTAGCCTGTAAGTATTGTCTATGGTTGACTAAGGTGTTAGTAATAGTAAACAGTAAATATAGTACGTTGTGAGGTCAGCGGAAATCACTTATTTCCTTGATAAATTTCAATTATTCAGGAAAATATGAAAGATAATTCTTTTTAAATTAGACTTTGATGCCTTAAACATTGATTGAAAATCTATAATATAAAAATGAATCGCAAAATGTGTTGGTCAACGCATAACTCAACAACGCCTGGACCAATTTCGCCAATTCTTTTTATAATATTCCTTGAAGTACGAGGATGGTGCTTACGGAGAGATAAATTTAAAAAAAATGAGTGAAAAAGTCTAAAAACAACACTTTTCTATATTCCCATACAAAATATTCGTAATAATACTTAAAAGTCAATTTGAACTTTAATACCATATCATAAAGTTCAAGTGTTAGTGGAGGGGTACCGGGAAGGTAAATTTTAATTTTTTGACATAATGTATTTGTTGTCTTATAAACTTTCTTTTTTTTATCTTACTAGCTAGACCGGTGTCCCGAATAGCAGAATAAGTATTTAAAAAAAATAAAGAATTCTTAGGCGGTACGATGTTCGCCAGGCCAGCTAGTGTTATAATAATTTTCCAGCTGAATTTTCGTAGTTAAACAGTTTCTCACTCTACAAAGCCATAAATATACCCGATTAAGTTAGGTTATATGTGTTTTATGTGGCTTCTATCTAAATTCTGGCTGTGGAAATGTTTCGAGGTGTAAGCTGCATCCGCCATTTTCTTCCCATCGCTAACGTAATTTCAAATTCATAGGTAAAACTGTCTAACGTTTTAAATTCAAAATAACTATGACTTTGTTTAGCAGTAACAATTTTTTCTTTAAAAAATTAATTGTCGCTGGTTTCATGTTAATGTCAGTTTTTTTTTCTTTTATTGAAGTGAAACTTCTTTATCGGCGTTAAAATATGACATATAGTATGTTTTTGACTTTGAAGTTTGACAACGGATTACATTTTCGAAGTCAAACTTCTTTATCGGCGTTAAAATATGACATATAGTATGTTTTTTGACTTTGAAGTTTGACAACGGATTACATTTTCGACTTGAAATTTGCTAATCGCAATTTGCAGCAATTAATTTGTAAATTGTATGCTAGGCAGTTGCAGTGTATCAAAATTTACTGTGTTTAAAGAAATAGTTTCGGACCTCTAAACTTAAAACAAACCAATTATGGCTCTGCGTACAACAAAGGTTTCATATAAGTTTCACTTCTTACGTGTGTACACCTAGTACACGCTCACATTTTTTTTTCGGTTACGCGCCATGTTGCTTTTTGAAGTCAAACTTCTTTATCGGCGTTGGAATGAAACTTCTTTATCGACGTATGGGAGAAATTTTGTAGCAAATCGTCACGTTTTTCAATGATAGTAATAATTCTATTACAATTAATGAAATTCTATAATAATCTTCGTAGTAATAAGGTAAAATAAAATATTTGTATTCATGTCTATGATAATAAAAGCCTTTTGTTAAACTTTATCTAATTTAACGAATTTCTGTAAAGTTGCATATAGTAGATCATTTTTCGAAAAATAAGATCATAAAGAAGTTTCACTTCTTCTTGTGTACACCTAGTACCGACTCTTCTTTTCCCATATTATATACTAATAAAACCTTACATTAAAGACAAAAAACTCTGAAAGCTTAATGTCTTTTGAAGAAAACTTTTAGCGAAACCTTTGTCCCAAACACCTCACTAGTGGGAGGGGGTGGGTATAAGTGACTGACCCATTACGGCCAGCAAATGGACCCTGAGATGACGAAGTTGGATGTCTTCTTACTGCGCTGAAATTTCTTTGTTTAAACGAAAAGTATTTTAAGATTTTTTACATTATAAAGAGCAAAAAAAAAAAGAGCGTACCAATTCTTAAAAGGCCGGCAACGCACTCGCGAGCCCTCTGGCATCGAGAGTGTCCATAAGCGGCGGTATCACTTAACATCAGGTGAGCCTCCTGCTCGTTTGCTGTTCTATAAACTAGTTAAGACTACAAATTATTCAAAAGTGAAGGAAATAGATCATATTGTGATATTATGTATCAATCTGTAATCCCAGAGGTTTACCGT